CCCATTGTGGCGAAGAACCAGCTGATCTCCAAACTCGTTGAAAGCTGCCAGCCGGAACTGAGGGAACTTGTTGTTTTGAGCCGGTACTGCATTGCAGAGCCATCTCCTTCAAGCAAGCAATGTTCCAACCAGATCTTGTTGCAACAAATAATAGTCATGCAAATCAATTCACAAATTGTTAAGTCGTTCTTTTTTCGACTGCCCCACCTCCCAACCATCCTTGTCCAGAAATTCCTGGGCCATGACCGTTTGCCTTCTGTAATAGTGGTAGGCTGAGATTTCCTTCACTTGCCAGGCAGCCAGTGCACGAAACGAAGCCATGGCAACAATAGAGATTCAATAATAGAGACGCAAAAAATGTGGTCAAGACTGCGCTACAAAGAGTAAGATGTGAGATGTACAAATGAGACATAACCAGCAGTCAAGCCATGGCACTTGATGCGAGATGTACAAAAAGCTGCTGCTGCAGTAAAAACTCACCGCAGTAAGATCTGGAATGGGTCACAGAATCTGTTCATGCAATTCAAATTGACTGAATTGGCTGACCCAAGTCTTACTCATTATTTGTGTGCCATAATCAGATCTTGAACTTGAAATACACAAGGAAGAAAATGCGGCATGGCAAAGCTCGTGGCAGAGCCCAACTTAGAGGCACTGAAAATAGAACATTTAAATTAGATGTTTTCATTGTCATGTGTTTCTGTTTTCTTCAACCAGCATTACTTTAAGATCAACCAGCTGTACTGAAATCCAGAAAGTGTACCACTATGCTTACTTTTTTTTCTGATTACACAGTAGCTTGTTCTCATAGTACCTGCAGACAGACCCTTGTCTTTGGGATATCGAATCTTGTGATACTACAATATGGTTCATACTGCTGTACACTCAAGATCCTTGATATGAAGGCTTATGTTTGAGATACATAGATTTGACTAATACTATATTTGGGTAGTAACCAGTACGCAGCAAGACCACATGCACAAGAGATGTCGTGAGAGCATTTTTGTTTGCATCAGTTTTGTGATTACTCAATGTTTTCGAAATCATACAAATGCAGTGACATAATTTTTGGCAAGGGTCTAATGGCTAGTGTTGAAACTGTTTGCCCTAAAAGGTTTCAAGGCTTGGAAAGCCAAGTCTTGAATAGTGCAAACATTGTCAAGACTTGGGGACATGGAATTGCAAAAAACGAATAACATTTCAAAACTTGGGATACCAAGTCTTGAAAGAGAAATGTAAGAATCAGACCTGTGGCTGCCAAGTCTTGACAATCATGTTCACTTGTGTTCATGTCTTGGAAGACCATGTCATGAAAGTTCTTACTTGGGTCTAATGTTGAAATTATTTGGCTCAAAAGCCTTCAAGAGTTGGAAAGCCAAGTCTTGAATAGTGCAATCATTGTCAAGACTTGAGGACATGGAATTGCCAAAAAAAACATTTCAAAACTTGGGATTCCAAGTCTTGAAAAAGTGTCAGATTTCATAACTGTGGCTGCCAAGTCTTGAAACATATTTCCACATGAGTTCATGTCTTGGAAGACCAAGTCATGAAAGACATAATTCATGGCAAGGGTCTAATGTTGAAGTTCTTTACCCCGAAAAGTTTCAAGACTCGGAAAGCCAAGTCTTGAATAGTGCAATCATTGTCAAGACTTGGGGACATGGGGTTTAAAAAAATGTAACATTTCAAAACTTGGGTTCAAAGTCTTGAAAAAATGTAAGATTTCAGAACTGTGGCTGCCAAGTCTTGAAAAATATTTCCAAATGTGTTCATGTTTTGGAAGACCAAGTCATGAAAGACATAATTCGTGGCAAGGGTCTAATGTTGAAAGTCTTTACCCGAAAGTTGAATAGGGCAATCATTGTCAAGTCTTGTTGACATGGAGTTGCAAAAAAGTAACAGTTCAAGACATGGGATATTGCCAAGTCTTGAAAGAAAAATGTCAGATTTCATAACTGTGGCTGCCAAGTCTTGACAATCATGTTCACTTGTCTTCATGTCTTGGAAGACCAAGTCATGAAAGACATAATTCGTGGCAAGGGTGTGATGTTGAAATTCTTTGCCCCGAAAAGCTTCAAGACTTGGAAAGCCAAGTCTTGAATAGCGCAGTCATTGTCAAGACTTGGGGACATGGTGTTGCAAAAAATGTAACATTTCAAAACTTGGAATACCAAGTCTTGAAAAAAAGATTTCCGAACTTGGTCTGCCAAGCCTTGAAAATATTTCCAGATGTTTTCATGTCTTGGAAGACAAAGGCAGAAAAGGCATAATTCTTACTTATACTGTTGAAATTATTTGGCCCAAAAGGTTTCAAGAGTTGGAAAGCCAAGTCTTGAATAGTGCAATCATTGTCAAGACTTGGGGACATGGAATTGCAAAAAAACATTTCAAAACTTGGGATTCCAAGTCTTGAAAACATGCAAGATTTCAGAACTGTGGCTGCCAAGTCTTGAAAAATAGTTCCAAATGTGTTCATGTCTTGGAAGACCAAGCCATGAAAGACATGATTCATGGCAAGGGTCTATAATGTTGAAATGCTTTACCCCGAAAAGTTTCAAGACTTGGAAAGCCAAGTCTTGAATAGAGCAATCATTGTCAAGGCTTGGGGACATGGGGCTGCAAAAAAATGTAACATTTCAAAACTTGGGGTACTGCCAAGTCTTGCGAGAAAATGCAGGATTTCAGATCTGTGGTGGCTGCCAGGTCTTGACAATCATGTTCACTTGTGTTCATGTCATGGAAGACCAAGTCATGCAAGACATAATTCTTACTTGGGTCTAATGTTGAAATTCTTTACCCCGAAAGGTTTCAAGACTTGGGAAGGGAAGTGTGGCAAGTTTCTGACTGTTAGATAATTTCATCCGCATGAGCCAATGCAAAGTCTTAAGAAGCTAAACCATTTTCTCAGGAACCTCATTTCCACACTTTGAGGCCAAGTATTGCAATGTACCATTCTTAAGCTGCACAATGGCCCATCTCTACCGCTTTGGAATGCCAAATCTGGATGAATGTTACAATTGGTACCGTTGTCAAGACCTAGGGACATGAGTTGAAAAAATGTCACGTTTCAGAACTTGGGATGCCAAGCCTTGAAAAACAACCCATCGTGTTCATGCCTTGGATGTCCACGGTCTATTGTTAGCAAAAACTAGCTGCAAACAGTTTCAAGACTGGGGAAGCCAAGTCTTGAAGATGGCATGATGCCATGAAATTCCACATTGTGTCTTTTGTAAAAGGCATGTGCAAGCATTAAAAAAAACAAATGGTTTCAAAATTTGAGACGCCAAGTTTTAAGATGGCATCATGTGTAAAGAATCATGCGGGCACAGCCCCACATACGGCAGAAAAAAGCACAGGTATAAAGTTTCCGCTTGTTACACAGTTTAGTACATGGTTGTAAAATGTTAGGAGGGGTTAAAAATTGGAAGTGGAAAAATATCATTTCGAACACTTGAAGGCCAAGTATTGCAATATATCATTCTTGGGCTCCAGACTTGGAGTTCCAAGTCGTGAGCACAAGACCAATCTTTACCACTCTGGACACCCAACAGGAAACATAACAAGTATCAAACTACAGAACAGCTTGTTTGCAAGTTTTCAGCCTCGGGGCGGTAGCAAGTGTTGAAACCTATGATTTTTCAAAAGTCGCAAAGACTAACTTCATTGGTGAGCCAAGGCAAAACCTTGCAACAAAAACCCAAGTCTTGAGCTTGAAGACTTGGAAGGTCAAATAGTTACCAAGATGGGCCAAGTTAAGTTCCAGACTTGGAATGCCAAGTCCAATCAAATCCAGAACTTGGCGCAATGCATTTGGACAAGTTAAGGGTGAACTCTTACCTTTTTGTTTCAAAACTTGGGATGCCAAGTCTTGAAAAAATATGTTCATGTATTGAAAGACCAAGTCATGAAAGGACAAAAAAGTAATACTGATAAAGCCAAGTTCTGAACGATGATAATGGTAACTGCCATGAATCAATCATATTTGAAAGACCTGGGAGGCGAAGCCAATTGAGACAAACATGAGTGGTTGGACTTGGATTCAAGCCTTGAACTTTTGAAGAACCCATTTGCATCACATCGAGAACAACCTTAAAAGTCTCAGTGATCATGCTTGTCAGTGCAAGACTTGCGAGGCCAAGTCTTGAAGTGCATTTAAGATTCACTATTGTGCCAAAACAATTTCTGGGAGACCAAGCCCAAATAGATTGTGCAGACTTGGAAAATGACCAAGTCTGAATTTCATTGTCAACTTCCACATTTAAAAGCCATCATCAAGAACAACATCATACTGAAATTGAAGCCCAAGAGAAACAAACAACCAATCATGTTCATCTTGGACATTTGGAACCTTGAACGGAAATCACCAAGAGAGGCATGATGGAATGTCCCTCCAAGAGTATGGTTTACCAAGAAGAGTAACAGTGCCCTGTTGGTACAATGTGTTTTCTGTCAAGAGCAGCTAAAGTTCGACACCTTTTGGCGCAAAGACCATAGTAAGCAAATTCAAACTGTTCCATTGTTACACTAGTCACAACTATGCATATCTAATCATGCCTTCAAATCCATGAGTGAAACCGTGTGTTTTTGTTTAATTTGGTTGAAGGTCTGCCATTTGAAATCCTAATGTCAAATCAGTCGGTATTTAGGTTCCTACGCAGCTCCATTCCTACAACCACATTTGGGAACCTGATGGTTGGAGCATGCAATCCACTAGAAGTGTATGAGTATAGTCATGTATATGCATTGAACACCTGTAGATCACACCAAGCCCCAAAAATGCCACGCACCAGACAAAAAAAAACTATGCATATAGTCATCCAACTCATTTGTGAAAATAAGAATATGCAAAAAATCACCTTCTAGATTGTAGTTATTCCTGATGAACTCTCACAACTTTGAGAATGAAAGGGAGGTGTATGTATGTACTTGCCAGCTACGAGACAGATTTTTGTTTAACCCTTTTCTTGGAACGGATACGAATTCAATTGCCAAGGCCTGGAATGCCAAGTCTTGGAATTGAAGTTGATGTCTTAATTCAATTGCCAAGGCCTGGAACGCCAAGTCTTGGAATTGAAGTTGATGTCTTAATTCAATTGCCAAGGCCTGGAACGCCATGTCTTGGAGTTGAATTTTATGTAATTCAATTGCCAAGGCCTGGAATGCCAAGTCTTGGAATTGAAGCCCATTATTTCAGAGGTTATGATGCCCTTGTTCAGGGCTAGTCCCTTGTTCAGGGACATTATCCCCAGCACTCGGAACGCCGAGTCCTGTCCCATCCCCAGCTGAAGGCTGCTGCAACGGCATCACCTGTCCAGGAAACCTGCAGGTACGAATTAATGGTATCACATATATGTTCATGACTTGTGTGCATGGTGGTATCACAAGTGGATGACAACTCGGGGACACCGGATGGTATTTTATGATTTTATGACTCTTGGTGACATTATATTGGTATCATATGTGCATGACCCTTGATTAAATAAATATATATATATATATTTTATGTTCATGATGCTTGATGGTCATTGGCAGTCTGTGTGTGTATGTTTGTGTTTGGTTCAGTAATCATGAAACTTGTTGTTTGAATTACAACATGTTTTTTGTTCTGACCTGCCCCCCCTCCAGGTTAATTTAAGCATGAAAACTGTGTGTATGTGTGTGTGTGTGTGCGTTTGGTTCAGCAATCATGATACTTGTTGTTTGAATTACAGAATGTTTTTTTGATCTGAACTGCCCCCACCCCTCCAGGTTTCAATTTAAGCATGACTACTGTGTGTATGTGTTTTGTTTGGTTCAATAATCATGATACTTGTTGCTTGAATTACAGCATGTTTTTTGGTTCTGAACTGCCCCACCCCTCCAGGTTTCAATTTAAGCATGACTACTGTGTGTATGTGTTTTGTTTGGTTCTGTAATCATGATACTTGTTGTTGGAATTACAGCATGTCTTTTTGGTTCTGACCTGCCCCGCCCCTCCAGGTTTCAATTTTAGCATGAAAACTTATCCCTAGAAAATGAAAAGAAACATATTGGAAAACCATCCCGAAATGGAAAAGGAAAAAAATACTGCATTTTTTCAGCCAAAATGAAACTATCATTTTCAAAAACCAAACTATCACAATCAAAGAACAGAGGTTACATGTCTTTTTTGCCGAGCGAAGGTGCGATCTCCGACTGTTTCCAACCGTTTCCTCTTGGACACCTTTGGACCTTCAAAAAAAAAACGGCGTTGCGCGGAAATGCTTCTTTGAAAAAAAATGCGGGTTGAACAAGTTTTGGCCTGATCATGTTTCCGACCGTTTCCGACCGTTTCCGACTGTTTCCGACCGTTTCCGACCGTTTCATTTTTTCTGAACGATTAATTGGACCAATTCCATTTATGGAAGGCTGATCCAGTGCAAACCCGTGCAAACCATGACGCTTAAGTTTTTTTGTGCCACCCTTGTGCGCGTACACTGCACCAAATATTGCATCTTGACCTTGATATTCAATATTCCCTAAAAATCACAAAATCCCAGGAGCTCGTGAAATTTAATATGTTGGATGGATATGGATGGTATATCCCATCTGATTGCCAGAGGCTACTTGGTGGCTCATCCCACGTCGTAAGTGGGTTATATCACAAGTTATACAGTATCCCAGCTATAAGTGGAAATCCACCCTACTATATCCCCACCGATTCGTGGGATGACCAAGTAGCAAAGGTACTGTGGATGGACGAACTCCTGCACCTTGGATGGTTGAAACCCTGTAAATAATATTAAATAATTGGAAAAACTAACAGTCAACTGGTGCAGGATTTTGCAACAATCCACAGTACCATACCATTTTCCATAGCTATGCTACTTTACCAAGTCAACGGGAATTTCAGGATCATTGCCCGATTCAGAAGCTATACGCGATTTAGAAACTACGATTCCGAAACTATTCCGCGCGATTCAGAAACTATTTCGTTGGATTCAGAGACTACGATTAGGAAACTATTGCGGGCGATTCAGAAAGTACGATTCGGTAAGTATTGCGTGCGACTCGGAAACTACGATTAGGAAACTATTTCGTGCGATTCAGAAACTGCGGTTCTAAAATCATGGGCCACACGTTCATACTTATAAATACCACTTCAAAATTGCAACCCCCTCTGCCATATAAATACATTTTCACGCCAGCGGGCCGAAAACCGTGCTCGTAAAACGCGCGCTTTTGTAAACGCACATTCGGAGGTCATGATGGGGTGGGGTCGGGGAGGGCATGTTAACGTTCCTGGTACTTCGTACGTTAAATGTTCCTGCGCTGCTGAGATCTCTGGTGTTGTTGCTACGGTGTGTACACGAATCGTCCTGCTACTTTGTACGTTATATGGTGCTACGCTGCAGAGATCTTTGGTGTTGTTGCTACGGTGTGTGCACGAAGGGGTGGGGTGGGGTGGGGTGGGGTGGGAGGGCATGTTAATGTCCCGGGTACTTCGTACGTTATATGTTGCTACGCTGCAGAGATGTCTGGTGTTGTTGCTACGGTGTGTGCACGAAGGGGTGGGGTGGGGTGGGGTGGGGTGGGAGGGCATGTTAATGTCCCGGGTACTTCGTACGTTATATGTCGCTATGCTGCTGAGATCTCTGGTGTTGTTGCTACAGTTTCCAAATCTGACCTCATAGTTTCCAAATAATAGTTTCCCAATCATAGTTTCCGAATCCGCTGTTATAGTTTCCAAATCACGCGCCTTAGTTTCCAAATCATAGTTTCCGAATCCGCCGTTCTGAGTTTCCGAATCTGACTGATGTCATAGTTTCCAAATCATAGTTTCCGAATCCGCTTTTCCCAGTTTCCAAATCTGACCTCATAGTTTCCGAATCATAGTTTCCAAATCCGCTTAATTTTTCCCAGTTCCAAATCACGCGGTGACCGAATTTCAGGATCCTTATAAATGGTAGGGTACTGTACCTCCAATGTAGGTTCCTGAAATTGCCATTGAGTAAAGGCATGTAAAACGACCCAACCGTTCAAGAGTCTCAATTTGAGGACAGCTCGGCAGCAGCCATCGCCGCGGACTTCGCGGCCCAGTACGACGCTTGTAACTACAGTTATGATCCCCTATAAGTTGGGATATAACCCCTATGACTATGGTTATATACATCCATTTGGGGGTTTCCATAGTCATGGGGGTACCTCAAAATGGATGGTTTACAATGGAAAACCCACCCATAAATGGATGATTTAGGGGTACCCCCATTTTAGGAAACCTCCTTTTATGACTGGAACTGCACTTCCAAGTAGGCACATGTCTGTATTAATGTGGAAACCCAATGCCATAAATAACTACATACCAGTTGTGGATGGTTTATAGCACCTGTAAAAGAATTGTGATAGTCAGGATGGCTTATGATTGGGATTGCTGCATTATATTATCGTGTAATATGTAGGTATGTATGAGTATGTATTATATAGATGATATCGATAATTTTTGTCATACCAACCACATCTCCTGTACATTCACTTGTGATTTTCAAGATTTCTCCAACTTTGAACGAAGCAGATTCTCATTCGCAAAGTCCATAGGTTGATCACAGGCATCACAGTCCATGGGTCATGGAATCCAGAGTTCAAAAACTCGGTGGAGGAACATATCCTTGCTATCCTTTTCTTGCCTTTCTTGGACTAGATTTTCCTGAAATCCCAGCAGTTTTTCAAAAAATAGTTTCCTTTCTCTAGGATTTCCAGCCCGTATGTTCAAATACACATTTACATGCGACAACAACAACAACAACAACAACATAAAGCTGGTTGGAGGTGTAGGTTTTCTCAGGTGGATGCTGGCATGTTGAAGGACATCGTGGAGATCTATGAGGAACCAAGGCCCCTCGGGATGGCGACACGGTATCTTTCAACGACGTGAAACGGGGAAACCATCGCTATGTGTTCTTCCCAAAAATTGCATGCCATGGGATGCCATGGGTTTGTTTGAAAATGTTGGGGAAACCATGGAAAACATATGAAAACATCACAAATTTCATGCCTGGTTTGCCATAATTTGCCATTAAAACTCCTATTTGATGGGTATAAACCATTTTCAGACAAACCCATATCAGCATACCCCACCGTTCTTTGTTACTTAATGATGTGTCATCAGCTCCATGTCTCGAAAATCAGAGAAAATCCGACAATAGAAATCAGTGTTTAACTGGAAATACAGGCAGAAAAAACATATCACTGCATAAATATATATATATATTTATATATATATATATACATATATATATATACATATATATATATACATATATATATATATACATATATATATACATATATATATATATGCATACATATTTTTAAATATATATATATAGATAGATAGATGCAAACACACATATCTATATATATATACAGATGCAATTAAACATACATACTTAGAGTTTTCCAGTTTTTCAAGAGATGCCCATGGCTTAGCCGAGATTTTCCACCGGCCATTCCATGTGACCCAACGTAGGCACTGGATGACCTTCTCAAATGAGCACCTGCGCGTGTTTCGAGTAGCACCTTTGAAAAATTGCTCGGACCGCAACTGGGGACAGGTACCATGGGTAAATGGCGTATGACCACAAGAAAGTGAACCTAGTGGCATCACTATCATGATATTCTATATCTGCATCTATATCTATATCTATATATCTGTATATCTAGCTATATCTATATCTAAATCTAAATATATTTATATATCTATATGTTTATATATATATGTCTATCTATCTATCTATCTATCTATATATATATATATCTGTATCTATATCTATATCTATATCTATTGGTATATCTATACCTATATCTATATATATATATATATGTGTGTGTGTGTGTTTATTTCTATCTTCATTTTTATATATACACATAAATATATACATATACACACACATATATATATATACATACACACATATATATATATATTTACATATATACATATATATATACAGCTATATATCATATATCTATATGTGTATGTCTATATAGCTATATATCTATATAGCTATCGATCTATATATCTATATCTATTTCTATTTCTATTTCTGTACCTATATCTATACCTATATCTTTATATATATCCCAAGAAATATATATATGGTGATCGATCTAAAGGTCCTTGTAAGGAGTTTTAATTGCGAAAGCCGTGCGTGTTATGTTGGAAACCCTCGCGAAAGTTTTTTTCGAGTTCGCGAAAGTAAAATTTTATTTCGCGAAAGTTTCGCGAAAGTTGGGTATTATAATCATTATATGCAAAGGGCTGCCACCCACTGCCGCCCGGGGTCCGGCAGGAGAAGGGCACCAGAAAATGCGAGTAGCAGTAGCCAAGTTTCCAAAAGTGAGGCTTTGCGAGAGCCAAACACCAAGGCCCCTGGTCTTCGCTTTTCCTTCAGTGCACCCCCTGCTGATGGCCGGGGTCTTTGAATAGGGATATTTTCGCGAAAGTTATGCGAAAGAGCGGGTGAAAGTCAAAGTGCATGTTGAAGGTGGTGGGCCAGTAAACTTTGCAAAAAAAATTGTCCTGAAAGGGATTCCGTGATGCTAGCTGCATGTTTAAAAGGCTACCAAGAAGTGATCCGTGATTCTCTGGCGTAATTTGGCAGGTGGCGAACGAATCTTCATAAGAGGCGTTGTTGGCCAACATGGGCCCCGCGAAAGATAAACATGGAGTTCGCGAAAGTTTCGCGAAAGTAAAATTTTTATTCGCGAAGAATGGCCGTTCCGGGTTAAAGAAATTTTGATCAACAACCATATATATACACATATATATATATATTTAAATCTTTCTATATATATATATATTATCTGTCTGTGTCTATGTATCTATAGACCTATGCAGCTCTATATACATATTTATATATTATATATGTATAAAGTGTTCTTTTGTAAATCAAATATCATATACTGCATGTATGTATATACATGCACAAATATACACATATACACATATACGTACATACATACATACATACAGACATACATACATACAGACATACACATACACACACACATACATACATACATACATACATACATACATACTTACATTACATTACATTACATTACATTACATTACATTACATTACATACATACATACACACACATACACACATACATACATACATACATACATACATACATACATACATACATACATACATACATACATACATACATACATACACACATACACACATACACACATACACGCATACACCCATACACCCATATACACATATACACATATACACATATACACATATACACATATACACATATACACATATACACATATACACATATACACATATACACATATACACATATACATACATACATACATACATACATACATACATACATACATACATACATACATACATACATACATATATATAGTGGTTTGTGAGAGGGCAACCTTATTTGGGGCCTTGCTGTCATTGCTCTGTCCGCCAGCTGGCACGATCACTGATTTACCTTCTGGTAATCATACGTGGCTGGAAAATCTCCAGTTAATGGAGGCTTTAATGGAAAAAACATGGATCAATTATCAATTGGATGATTTCCCATTGCCACCGGTGGCTTTTCAGCACAGTCCTCGCAGTGATTCCATCATATTCCATCCCAACGTCATTGCCTTCCAATGGAAAAAATCCATGAACATTTTCAGTCCGGGTATCCCATGGATATATGCTTCGAGTATCCGTAGTAGCTTCAACTCTCGCAATCTGCAGATTTTTCTTGGATACAGAAATTGGACACTACAGAAATGGTATTTCAAGGTACATGGACCCCCCCCAGTGATAAGTTGGTTTATAAACCCCATTAACTGGTTCGTTATATCTACCATAAACCACAGTTTTTTCGCAACCACATCTCAACTGAAACCTATCTTTGGGGCCCCATCCTGTATTTCTGTATTTCTCCAGATTTTTCTTGGTGCAATCTCTAGATCTAAGGAGAATGCGCCTGGGGATACCACTCTGACACACATCCATCGTGCGGGACGCAGAATTCTCCGATTGGAGTCCGGTTGGAAAATTTGTGTTGGACATTTCCATTGCCCCTTTACCCCATCATTGGACATCATTGGACATATTTTGTATCTTTGGACTTTGGTAATATCTTATATCTGGATAGAAACTAGCGGTTTATGTGTTTAAGTCCTAGGTTTTTTGAACATGCATCTAGATCTAATTTTAGTTTGTTTGCGATTTGGCGGCGGAAACGAAGGGGGACGCATTTCGAGTGACTTTCTTCGGAAGATATGGCCAACCTACTGGGAGACATTCGATGGATTTGCCAAGACGAGTTTGCATTCACTTGAGGCACACTTGGGCAGTACTAACAAATGTTACATCAAATTCTTGGTGCATCATGGTACATGGTGATTGGGCGTGGCAAACCTAAACAAACCAATCGGATCCAATAGGATCCAATAGGATCCAATAGATGTTTCTTGTCGGGTGGATCGCTAGTCCCATCCTAATATCAAATAGCTGTTGCACGCGAATGATCAGCAAGTGTACGTAGGTTTCTCCCACTGAGCTCTGGTTTCTTGTGGGTGTTTGATATGAGGGGAAGGGATTACTTGGGTCTATGGATGTTGAAATGGCATCTTTGAGCTTCACTCCGCGATGCGAAGCTGAAAAATGCCACAAAAACATGGGTGGAGAGCAGGTTGCAAGTGATGCTTGAAACGAAGAAAAGCAGGCCCTCCAAAGTTTCCCATACCCACATCATCCCATATCATATTCATATCGGTCGTGCGGTTGAGGGTTGATGGGGTTGAGCGGGTCGAGGTGTGGATAGCCTCTACTTCTTCTTCTCAGAGAGTCAAGTTCAAGGAACGAAATGGAAAGAGGAGCCGCACTCATCGAACGTTCAGTTCCGGAAGATGGGACAGAGACGAAAAAATCGAAAAATCGGAAGGGGTTTGGCTCTGAGTTCGCCATGCAGAAGCACATGGTTTTTGGAAATGTGATATGTAACTTCTTGGCATTCTATGCCGTCACGAAAACTTCCACCCCGTGTTTGTCCAAGTCCGCAAGTTCGAAAACACATAAAACACTGTGACCACGATGTCGGAATGATAGTGATGGTGATTGTATAGGAGAATCGTCATGATAGCTGTTTGCTTAGTGAATTGCGTTGCGCCCCGCAAAAAGCCGCCTATTTTTCAGAAACCTTTGGGGATGGTTTATGTCTACCAACAATGTGGTCAGATTGGAGATAGTTTATCATCGGAATTCCCACACGTTACCCTCTTGTTATTTACACTAGCTATGGAAAATCACCATTTGTAACAGGATGGAACAGGTAAATCGTCATAAATCATCATAAATCATCATGAATCATCATAAATCATCATGAATCATCATAAATCATCATAAATCATCATAAATTATCATAAATCATCATAAATCATCATAAATCATCATAAATCATCATAAGTCATCATAGATCATCTATAAACGGACCATTTTCCATAGCAAACTGTTAAACAACCATAGGGTACGACTCGTGCCAGGAGCCCAAAGATGATGTGCTGCAGGATGGGGAAGTGAGATATGGAGACCACGGCACCAGTTGCACGTGCCCTGGCTGGGTAAATCGATTTGGGTCTCAAAATGGGTGATTTTAGCTCCTCCAAAATAGTCAGAATTGCTGATTTGCATGGGGAATCTCAAGCAAATATCATCAGCGAATTTCCATGGGTTTTCCAGAAATTCAACTGCCTTCGGCGTGTTCCGCCGGCCACCCTGGAAAGAGCTATCCTGCAAGCCGCAAACAGCACTTGCACAGGCCCAGCAAGAACATAAGAATATGGTTTTTGTGCAAAACATTGTGTTTGTGTATAACACAGTTTTTGTGTAAAACAGCGGTTTGTGTAAGACACGGTGTTGATGCAAAAACATTGCTTTGTTCAAACCACGGTTCAAGTTCAAACCAAAGCAAGCGTGTAAACCAGGGTTTTGGAAAAGGCCATTTATAGAAAGGTTATGCGTGTCAAAGGTGTTCGACACAAAAACCAGTGGATCAAGTATTGGATATAAGAAGCGACGGAGCAAACCGATGGCAAACACAACAGAAAATGCGGAAACAACCATCGAAATGACAGCAAGATGTGCAAAACCAAACAGGTGTTGAGCCAGGCGTGGGCAGAGTTGAGCAGAGCACAACGTAATGAAAGATGAAGACGAAACTAGATGAAGAAGAGCTACGCCAGGGGGGGGTTCAAGTTAGACGAGGCAAAAATCCGCGCCAAGGGGACAGTCTAGACAAAGACAAAGACAGTACAACTACGAACAACCTAGATCCACAAGACACGCCAGCAGGCCGGCAGATTTTGAGGTACCACAGTTGATTTGGCGATCAATAAAAGGTCAGAGGATGAAGCGAGTCACAGTGACCGCTTGGTGGATATTATAATAACGGTTCCGAACTTCCTGAGTTTCTCATTGGATTGGTTTTGTGGGAAACATCTACGGGACACCTTGCAATTGGTGGTAATAACCATAGCTTCCGGTGAAGATTTTCCTCTAAGAGCCAGTTTCCATAGAGTTCCCAGCATGATTTTCATGCGCAGCGAGGTTGATTCACAAGTGCCTCGCCTGCAATTTTTTGGGTCAGGTTTGGAATGCCTTGCAATGTTGTTTTTTCCCAGAAATCATTATCTGAAAAGTTTACATCCCAGTTAGGATTCAATCCGTAGTGATTCACCACGGCATATCACTGCCGATGGTTGAAATCACAATCACAATCCCCAGCCAATTACTGCCAGTTATATCAAGAATTGGTGCAAAGGGACTGTGCCGCGTTCTCCTTGGGTGCGAATGACATGCCAAAATGGAGCAGCAACTCTTCAGTTTCAGACCTTGAGCTGTGACGTGCTGCAGGATCCACAACAAGTCCCGGCCAGTCATGATGTGTTTGGATGTGGAGTTTGCAACCTGGCTTCAGACCCCGCTGCGGATTGCGAGTCCGGGTACTATGGGTAGTCTAGGTAGGTTTGTGAGTCATTAAAATGGTGACTGGTGACCGTGTCCCTTTGATACCCCATGCTGCTCCAATAAAAGTCTGGCAGCAAGGCATCAAAGTTAATGAGTGGTTGATCTAGCCATTTTTGGAGCTACAATTGAACTGGGACAACCCCAGTTGGAGGACGAAAAAAAAACGTCAGAGGCGATTTTGGCCTAGTCAAATGACATAAAATGTGGGGTATACCATGACATAGCGGTATACCATGGTATACCCAATATATAAATGGCATATAAATTGCCTAAGATGTGGGGTATACTATGGTGCATGGAAGAAACCCGGATGATCCCCTAAGAATACCACACTGAGGCGGGTTTCCACCAAGAGCCACCTGCGAAGCGTCCAAAGATGGAGCCTCCTTCCATTTCACCTCCCTTGAAGCTGATCAAGGAGCCACCGGAAATGTTGCCATGTCAAGTTTTTTCACTAGTATGGACAAAAACAGCAATACATGGATATTGATGGGTTTATTTCATACATGATATCTATTTTCTGGGTGTATATATATAATATATAATGATGATATTATAACCCTAGTTCTAGGAGTTGTAACTCCGTATTTCATTCCATTTAGAGCTGTTAGTTGGGCCACAACTGGAGAGGGACAGGAATTTCAGGTAAGACACTTTAGTCAAAGAGGCTTCACACAGTGAAGAAACTGTCGTTGGACTGACTGCAGGCACGAGCATCATACGTCGGCGACTCATTTTCTTAAAGTCAAAAGAAGAGTTTACAAAACAATACCTATATGTACTGTATAATTGTTAGCTGCTATACTAGTTAGTGTTGTTTCCATACTTTGAGTTTGAATTTCATATACCTTTGATGGTTCCATATCATAATCCATTGCCTATGTGACGACCGGGTTGGTCCCATGCAGGAGCGCCCCGCTGTGCGGGTCTATACCATTGATGTAGCAGCGGGTGTTCTGGCAGCGAAGGAACTATTATATGTTTTTTCCTGTTGTTTCCACAAATAAGGGTACCCAAAATGGATGGTTTATAACAATCATGAAAAATCCTATCAAAATGGATGAGGTAGGTGTACCCCTATTTCAGGAAACCTCCATATCAGTAAGAAGTTGTTTGTGGAAGGACAGGCAGCAGCAACGCAGGGGATGTTTGATTCCTGGAACGCTATGTGATACATGCATTCTCCAGATGCGTGTGCTGCATGTTTTTTTCATCACATGAGATGTTTTGTTGCTGCTTGTGTTGATTATGATGATCATGATGATGGTGGTGTTGAGGATGCTGATGCTGCTGATGCTGATGCTGATGACGATGATGGTGGTGGTGATGATGATGACGACAATACCTGTCGGCATGTGGCATTCCTAAAGCCAGAAGATTTGTTTCCCAAAATCGCGGAGTAAATGTAGAGACCGGGTCCCACTTTGCCAGAAAACCATCAGAAAACCATCAGAAAACCATCAGAAAGCCTCTAGATTCTCGGGCAGATTCCGTGGAGAATGTCTCAGGGGATGACTGGGCGCAGCGCCTGAACTTCTGTCAAGTGCTATTTTGGTTGTGTCCGAAAATGCTGGATACTCCATTTTGTGGCAGTGATGGGACTCTGGAAAAATGATCTCCCAGCCAATTGCCGATTTGAAGCTAATAAAGATACATATTTTTTAGACCAAAGTGGATGAAATGGAAAACAGTCGTCTCCATCATCAGGTTTCTCTTGCAACAAGGAAACAAATTAAAAAACTGTGCTGCTCCAACACCCAAATTTCTGGTGATTGATGTAGATTGCTGTGCCCCAAACTCAACAGTTGGTTTCCCTTAGCAGCCTTAGCAGCCGTAGCAGCCACGCAGCCACTACCCTCTGGCTGGAAAATTCCCATTTTTGTCCCATATACATACCGTTACATACCCCTAGGATCCCCTTGCAAGATGCCTTTGGATTTCCAAATTTTTACCATGACCTGTCGAGGCAGCAGTTGCTCCTGTGCCTTGCCCTTCGCCAAAGTACTTCTGGTGGTACACCGGGGCGCTCGCATTCGTGGCACCTTAGGTCAGCCGGCTTTAGGGGTCACCATGGGTCAGAAAAAATCTTCAACCCTTGGGTGGAAAATCACTTCGAAGGGTTCAACATGGTTTAACTGGAGCTTTTGATGGAAAAATCATCCAGATCTGGGCGATTTTCCAAGCCATGTTTGATTGCGGGCGGGGTAAAGATGGCTCGGAAACCACCGACAAAATGCTGGATTTTCGACACACCATGTTTGATATCCTTTGATTACCAGAGAGAAAATAGTGAAAATGAAAATAGTTAAGATTAAGTATGATGATATCACATCCTGTCACATCCTGTATATCAGATGAGCAAGGTAGCGTCCCCACATTCCAAGTTCTTTTTCCCCAGAGCAGAGCTATGCTGAGAGTTGACTTGGGAACCTAAGAGGTGGTGCCACAGTGAAACCTTTGTTGGTTTATAACATTTTATAACCCCGATGAATAATAGTAGATGTGATACATATATATATACAGGAGTTATAATTATATATAATTATAATAGTTATTTTATATCTATCATACTTAAGCCTTAAGTGAGTTATTGGAATGATGTTCACCATTCTTTCATTGGGCCCTGTCAAAAACAACATGTTTTTTGCTCCTACGAGGTGATCTTAAAATTTGTGGTTTCAGCAGTCAGCCAGGTGAGTGCTTCGTGAAAGCTGGAGATGTGTTCTTTCGGGAAGGACCAGAAGAGATGAAACTGGAAGTGTTGCTTGGTTTAGCACTGGTGGACTAAAGCTGGTCAGCTCTATGGCTTAAAATGACTTTTTTTTATGCGGTACTTTAAAGTGGCCAAGGCTAGTTGATTCCACACAGTGCTGTCGTGTATCAACTCATGTCAACCAGGGCAACTTGGGCAACCCATTTTGTTTAGAAAAAGCAGGGGGTCACCACATCCGATCAGGCCAGTTACAAAGACCCCCAGCGGAGCCGGGTGGTCTTTGGCAAAGGTAAAGGTATCCCAACTGATTGGTCATTTTGAGTAGTCTTCTTGGAGTTTTAGATGCCCGTATATGCCTAGTTGTAGTTGGGTCTTATATATTCTTATATGGTATTTTTATATGTATTACATCATTCTGAGTAAATTTCATCACGACCTCACTGTTCTCCCGAACCCTGGAATCATGGTTTATTTTAGGGAAATCATCCCAAATGGGCCAACATTTCAGGTGAGAGTCAGGTGGGATAGGGCCCCGTGCTTTGGTTTTTTAAGATACACAAAGATGTGGAAAAACCATAGAGTCTCCCATTCGGAACATGATCTTAAAAGATGTGGGATTTTCCACCCAACTGTTTCCCGTGTTTACAGGAGGCTCACCAATCAATTTCAGTTCTTTTTTAAACCAAAAAACATCCACTCACGCCAAAAAAAGGCCCGAAGACCGTCTCTAAGGCTCGGCTCTCGTCGCGACTTGAGACTTTGGGTCGTGGAGCTTTTGTACTAAGACAGACAGCGGGCTCTCGTGGTGAGGTGAGTGGAGATGGCACACTGGAATGCAATGGGGAATATATAGTGAGATATAGTGAGATAAAATGGGATTATAAAAGAACGGGATATAATGGGGCAATGGAATTCCCTTGTACATATTTGTACATAAATAATCATAATATAACTTAGCCTCTGGTGATTTTTGACGTGGCGAACTGGAAAATCACCATTTTCCAGTTCGGCAAGTCTCATCGTAAAAATCATCAATGGGCCATGGCTTCCCGATGGATATCCATGCCACAGATCATCGGATAAAACTAGGGAGTTTCGATCATGGGTGAGCATGTTCATTCATGTTTGTTCTTGTAGGCTCATCTAGAAAACCATCTGTTTTTTTTTACTGTGACATAACGAACTGGATATTATCACCATGCTATTAATTGGGTAAATCAACTATGTCTATGGCCATTTTCAATAGCAACCTGTTAAATTACCAAAGGGTATGATCTATGTACCCATGTGTTGGAGTCAATTAATTTTGTGGCAGCTTGGGCAGTGACTGATGGTGGCTGATTCCGCATGGTCGACTCTCCAATCATCTGCTGAGTTTTGCGCCCAGATTTTTGGGGCTTGGGGTACCTCCTGGAGGGCCTTTCATCGGAGGGTCAGTGATAGGAGTTTTGATCTTTCACTATCCTTCAGGATGGTTGATGAATCAATTCTGTCATCGCTGTTTTTGGTCAGAAACTCTTGGAAAGTTTGAAAAACATCAAAGTTTGACTTGCTATTCCAGATGTTTTCCAACAACTGATGGAAGCGACAGGTGCCTGAAATCTTGCGCTACATCTCCTCGCAAGGACCCCGCCTCCGTAGAACGAACCGTCGCGGGTGCCAGGTTTCCAGTTTTATGGTCTCTGAAGGTCCGGAAGCGGCGAAGAAAAAGGTGGTGCCATTGCAGGCTTCAAAATGTCAGAGAGATTTTGTTTGCAGTTTCTTATTGAACGATATTTGGGATATGTATGGATATGTTGGGATGATGATTGCCAGATGATGTGGGCAAATCTGGGCAAATCTTCTTGAGTGACCTTCGCAAATGACCCCGATCTAAATGGTGGACGTTGGGAATTTAAGAATCCCGATGTCTGGATTTACATTGGTGAATTGATGTTTCATGTGCATCATTTTTGCGGTATTTGGGATTACCCTCTGGTAATTTAACATAGCTATTGAAAATGGCCATAGACATAGTGGATTTTCCCATTAAAAATGGTGGATCTTTCCATAGTTATGTTAGTTTACCAGAGGGTATCCTGAATGGCAAGAGCATCTGTAGATGGTACAGGGGTCTATGTGCCATGGTCCCGCCATCAAAACTTGAGTTAAGATTTGCCGACAAGTTATGATGGGTGGATCTTATCATAGTTCAATCATGTTCAATCCCTTTATAGAGATTTACAGTATACCAGTTTAATCCTGAAAATCAATTTATACCAGTTTTATAGAATGTTTGGATTTTCAGGGGATGACCAAAAACTCAAAAACCCATCAACCCATTGCGCACCAGCTGTTGAGGTGACGCCCCCCCTACGCAACTTATATCTGGGGGGCCTACCTTACCACCTGGGAGCTAGCAACTTACATTTGGGCCATCTGGAGTGTTGGGCCTCTGCCAAGCTGTTTCCAGTGTTTTCAAGATACAGGACTCCTGATAAAATAGGGATTAAAGATAGAGTATACAGTGTACAGTATAAATATGTGGCCCATGGTCTTACTATAGCCCACTCACATACTGGCCGTGTTTTTTCAATGATATTTACCAAACATATCAACGTGGCTGTTTCATCATTAGGCTATACCATTTTTGGGGCATGAAGATCCATGGCGTTCACCCGCTATTTTGATGTGAACAAACAAGGTGAAACAGCCCTCTGGCAGCTTGTGGATCAGCTTGAGTCATCCCAATGCTGCTTGGGTCCGATTTTTGGGGGGATCCAGTGATGGGAATAATGGGATGTTAATGGAATACGAATGGAAGATTGATTCGATACAATGGGATATGAATGGAATATTGATTGTTCTTATAGTGTTAATGGAATACTACTTTTGGGAAACACAAAGGTGGTGTAATAATGGGAATATCATAGGGATACAATGGGATATTAAAGGAATAGTGATGTTTGAAAGGTGGGAAACGCCATGTGAAATAAATATGATGATTTATCTAGCCAATCTAGCCATGGTGAAAATCCATGAAAATCCTATCTTAAATGACCAAAGGTACAAGGTGGTGCCCCCACAGTGAAATGTTTGTTGCTTTATACCCCCTCCATGACCCAAGTGAGTTATTGGGTCCAGATCTGACCAGTACATTTGAGTTTGGGTCAACTGCAAAATATACAGAATATGTACAAGGTCTTCATGAATTTTCGGATCAGTTTTGACCCTCTTGAGCCATTTGGCGGACTAGCCAATGTTTATCACAAATCGTAGTCCCTGTGACTTCGAACAGGAGGTTTGCAAATTTTGAGAATCTGTGAACTTTAGGGATAAAGTAGGGAACATCTAATTTCAATCAGGGATATGCGTATGTCAGGAATCTTTCAGACACGAGACCTGCTGGATGCTGGATGGTTCCCCTGGTATTTCCATAGGTAAGTTCACCGAGTTGACACATCCCAAGTCCATAGATTCTACCAAGAGATGGCGAGAGGCAGAGAGGTAAAGAAATCAAGCTTTTGAGCATGACAAAGATTCTACCATGACTGATACCATTTGATGTCCGCCTATGGTTGGTCTTTCTCAGAGTGCTGTTGAAAACGGCACACCGTGAGGGATAGACTAGTCGCTCATCGAGTGCAACTCGCTGCAAGGCCACGAGAATAAAAAATGACTTGATTAGATTTAATTATATTTAGTATGTTTAAAAAGATGACTTGATTAGATTTCATATGATTTAACTAAATATTAGTCCAAGAGTAGACAAACTTCGAGAATCTTGGCTTCATTGACCCCTTAGACTTGGTGACTTCGTACTCGATGCGCCCGGGATTCGCGCCATTGCCAAGGCTCAGCTGATGTTACACTTGCTCGGGGGGCGAGCCGAGGACCCCGGTTGACGAGCCATGAAAAATGCCATTATCCCATGCCACTATGTTGGTTAGCATCAATAAATATATAAATATTGGCATTGTTCATAATTTCTAATGATCATAATTTACAATGAACATGATTTGTAATGATCTATATATTCCTAATATATAGGTCATAATTTATCATGATCCCCAATAATGATAAGAATAGTAATTAACAATAATAATAACAACAATAATATTAATAGTAATAAGCCAGTGAGTACAACCCCCTAGATGATAAAAACCCATCGGCTAGGTATTTTTAATGGCTCAGATGTCCTTTTCCTATACTTGTTGGTTGATCAACAGAAGGGTTAACCCCCTTCACAAGCCATAGGTAAATGATATTATGAATTTAAACTTGTGATAAATGGTATGCCAGATCGCCCCCTATTTTTGCCAAACAGGGATTGTTGTTTCCAACCATCTGGGTTTGTTCAAACGTGGTGAAACCCTCTCCACTTGTGGCCGCGGTTTGTTCAAACATGAGGGGGATAGAATCAATATGAATCAAGCACGTTGTGCGGACATGATATGGGCATGGGCTTATCATGGTTACCTGGTTGATGAATGGAGGAATTACTTTCATGGCGATTGGGCCGCAGGGAAAATGAGCGCTCCAGGATCAGTGGGAATAGCACGGTCACGGTGTGACTCGGATTGGCTGGGTCTCCGTTTGGGTCTATGTTTGGGGACGAATATGGACCAATGAAAGCAGCTTTGGTGAGCTTGAAAGGACTAAGAATTTGTAGACATTTACCAAGAATAACAAGGCCTTGAACCAAAAAGAAGGTATATTTAAGCCATCTTCTGTATGCATAGTATAGCCAATCGTGTACACCAAGGGCAACTATCCAGCAGGATTCATCCCATGGTAACCCCTTGAGTTCGGTCACCATGACGTCGGGTGGTGACCAGTGTCCATGGGTACCTGAAATAAGGAGCTGTGTGCCATTCCGAATGGAACAGCAGGATCCTAACTAACAATTCCGAATGGTTGGAGATCAACTTGCCTCGTTTTTCCAGTCGCATTTTCCAATCTGAGAATTCTTTGAACCTTGTCGGCCCTAGGTCCACAGGACAGGAAGATTTTTTGGCTCGGCATAGCTCCAAAATCGCGGAAATTGCACGGGGACGGGCGGCCAGCTGGATGCAGCTGCAGAGCCAAGCTACAGTGACAATTAGAAGAATCTTGGGAGTGTTTCGGTGAATCTGGGTCCACAATATGCCATTTGGATCCATTTGGTGTGTTTTTGGGTGGCCCAAAAGTATCGCACAAAATCCTGCTGAAGGCCATCCAGGTATCAAATGAACTGAAAATCATCGGGCCTTCTATCTTCTACTCCCCCCTATCCATTGGCCACGTTGAGATGCTTCAAACATCTGCAAATTTACCTTTGGAGATGTATCAAACAGTGACTCAGTGATGTGAACATGTTTTTCCATTAAGTTGGGAAGAATAATCCCAACTGACTTTCATATTTTTTCAGAGGGATTGAAAACACCAACCAGATTATTGGATGGTTTATTATTGTCTTAACCACATTATCCCATTTTACGATGCCATTTTTAGTGGTTGACATCAGCTGGTTTCTGGTCGCGGATCGGAAAGAGCTGTCGCCGTCCCAAGGGGCCAACTGTGGACTGTGATTCATCATGTTAAATCATGCCAATCCACTTTTTATGGTGTATGTAAATAACTATATGTGTAATATGTAATATATATATATTATATATATATATACAATATATATATATATGTAATATGTATATACATATACATACATACACAGTATGACATATGCACTATAGTCAATGTTTTAGGGTATATGTAATATGACAACATGGACCATATGGACATCATATGGGCCAATGTATACAATATAATCCAACATGATCCAACATGATCCAACATGTACAGGATATACCATGATATCATCCAACC